AACTTTTATATATTTCTATTTCACCATTTAATATACATTACGAAGAGTTAGGGCTTTTATAATCAATATATCCGTCCGATTACTGAAAAATAAATTTAAAAAATAATATTCCGTAATTATAGTGAAAAAGATTAATTATATTTCTTCTTTGTAATAGAAAATATATGAAATGTTTCTTCTAGTACAAATTGAAAAAAAACTATACTAACACTATTCATTGGCTCTTATGAAACACATTTCTCTGTTTACTTTTGTAATCACATATTGGTACAGTAAATATTGAAATACATTTTTCAACATCAAAGCGACTCCATTCATTTCAAACGAATAAAACACTTGTAGGTAGTTGATTTACACAAAGCTATCTTCAATATGAAATTTATTGGATTTGAAAAAAACTAAATGAGGAAAGGAGACAGACAAAGGGCCAACAAAATTACGAAATACATACACGAGTATATTCTAATCAACCTTTCCCACTGACGTTAAAGCAAACGAAAGAAGCGACGCGATTGTTTTGTGCTTTGTGCGAGCAAATATATCTTTCTATTTTTATCAAAGATTTCTATCACGAGTCGTCACGCGCTTGCAAATTACTGGTTTGAGCCGAAGAAAAGTACATTCAGCTGTCAGATTATAACAGAATTCTTGGAGTTAATTTATAAAGTTAATATGTAATTTTCTATTATTGCCCAGAGTAAAGCTCGTTTGCAGTATTATGTTATAGTACTTATTATTCAATGTACCGAATAATTTTATTGTTGTTGTGCTTAACAATGCTATCACGATTTATCAAGTAAATTTATAATATCATACAAATTTACAATGTTAAATTGGTTACTTCGTTTAATTACTGGAAATTTGTCTCAAAATAAGAGAATCCTCAAAATTATCACGAAAGCACGTCGTCGTTCCATTGAGAATATTATTTTCTCAGTTGACAATTTTTTCATTAAAAATGATATTTTCTTAGTTCCAGTGGCTTTCCTCTGAAATCAGAAAATGTATTCTCATTGTTTAATATACATAAAAATAAGTGGCATGAAGTGAAGTAAAGTGAATAATGTATAGACATTTAACAAATGAAACTTATGTATAATAATATTATATGTAAACAAAGTGATACAATTTCTTCTACGTACCTTCTAGCCTTTAAATAATAACATTCATATGTAACATAAACGTTTCTATAATTGCCATCAATAGTGATAATTCTTGATTGTATATACAGACACAATTGACCATTTGATTTATTTTAGTACAAAAGCAAAAAATAAGTTGATGAAGGTTCAAATAATTGAACGAATCGACATTTCTAAAAATATACCATAAAATCCACGAGTAACGCTGTAAAAGCAATACTCCTTTAATTTGGCGAGATGTACGGATAAGAGAAGTGGAGTGCACGCCAACAATCAAATATAATTGCATACATCGAATAACGTCTGCTTTAATCCACATTCCAATCTGTCGAGGAGAGCGAGCGCTAAATTGAAGTTTGATTATTCCATCGTGATTCCAGTAGCTCTCTCGCGGGGCACACATATGTCACTTTTGCTGCTAATTTTAGCATGATAGAGCCCGCGCATACCCTTCCCGTTGACGGACTAATACGTAAAGCCCAATATTGCTGTGATTGCTCGCTTCCGTGCGACACACGGATTTTTAGGTAGCACAAGCACGCGCTAGTGTGCGGGTAACGGTTGTTGGCGCATGTCGAGGATGTGCTTGTTTGCTCGGAGACGTTTTCTTTTCGACGAGTCAACGACTCGTATCAACCTTCTTCGCGTTAATTTGCTTGAATAGATGGTTATGAAAAATGACACTTTTCATCTGTTGCAACTAAGATATCTTTAAAAGTCGTTTCATTATCATGACTTTTCATCGACGACTTCTAATTATTAAATGTCGACGACGATTGTCAATAATGATCAATTCATGCTCCTTTCAAAAGAATACCAAACTTACGTGACTACTGTGTACCAAATTACGTCCAATGCGAGCGTTTTCCTCTTACTCAGTAAGCAAATAGCTTGCGTATGAAAATTTATACACGTACGAAAGGTACGCAAATAATTATCAGAAGTTATAATTTACGGCATCTGAAAGTCAGCAAGCGTTCGCCCGCATTAACAGTCGAGAAGGCAATGAAGAAGTAACTATAAATGAAAGCGACAGATGCTTAAATATTTGCATTTAAATGTTAGAGTCGTATGAATTTGGAAGCGCGCGCAAAAGTCAACTTGGACCCATCGAGCGAAGGGCAAAACTGACCAACGGAATGGAAATATCCACTCGCGCGTTGCTCGGCGGTCATTGTCACAATCCGACGACGCCCGCGATTCTCGGCCGCGGTCGAGAGAAACTTTTAAATATGCACGCTCTCTCCCCTGCCGCGAGTTGTGCAAGGATAAAGCGCCGAGTGTCGACGCGCGCCGTTCACGCCCCCTTACGAGCCACGAAAATAAACGGCCGCAAGTGAGGCAGATAATAAATGCACTTGACGAACGAACTGACGAGTGCCGGAAGAAAGCTCTCTCGGCTTGTTTATTGTATCGTAAACAGGCGCGCGTTCGCTCGCGCCCGCGTACACGTCATATAATGCCTGACATCTTGAGCGACTGTTTAGTGTCGTGTGCCTGTAATTTATGATTGACTGCTCTTTTTGTCAGGACATTTTTCTCGCTGCCCACGCCGTCGAGCACCTTACTTTCCTGCTGTCCCTTTTCGTGCCGTTCGACCGGCCGTGGGTCGGATCATTCCTTATGCTCATTGTCGATTGGAAAAATAAATGGAATAATAATTATTTGCCGCGGCGGCAAATATTTCTAAATCAAAGGCTAAGAGATATTGGCTTTGTGTGAGCAGAGCTGTAAATATCGATTAGGATGTCAAAATATGGTAATTTACGGGTTTCTTTCCGAAAAGACCATTTCAGATAAAAGACGAGAAAAAACTTCGTAGTTTTTTACCCGATATATATACAGTCAGTGTGCGCGTGTCTCAGTTTATAGATGTTATTTATTCAAATTCTTTCGGACCACCGAAATTGAAGACCTCGAAATGCGTAAAGCCGGTAGCAGCTTGCCACTGCTAATTACTCATCTTGTCTACTAAACACAGCGCGACACCTCTCACTTGGAATAGAAGCTTATTTAACCGCTGATTAAGTTTGCTAATTTTCCTCGTCTTTTCTAATCTGAGAAACTTCGAGGCGTAATGAAATTTTATGAAACCCTGTTTATTCTTTGGAATCTATAGAATCATTTTTTTTAATTAGTACATTAGGTTGGTACATTACGAGTTGAGAAATAACCAAGTCTATTTTAAATAATACAATTTTTGAAATGCTACATCTCAGCACCAAAAGTGTTACTGATATTAAATTTTTACTACAACAAAATCCAGTTTACTCGTCCAGTTTCGTTGTAAGCATCTGAAAAACCATATCGATATACATTTTAAACGCGTCACTTTGTCAAATTGAGCACATTTATGCACGAAATGTTTCCCGACATAAATACCTTGAATTTCGTCGTTCAAGCCCCGCGGACTTGCGAGAATTGCGCAACCAGGTCAAGATTTAGAAGAAAAGCCATTCGAGAACTACCTTTTAAATTTGTTTTCACAATCGCTAATTACATACCTATTTGAGCGCAGGCAAGCCGTCTGTATGTACATGTCAATTGATTATAACTCGAGCTGGCATTCTTAAGAAATGCCAAGTGCGTATTTGATAGAGCTCTATGAAGAATTTTACGAATACAACCAATTGATTTGACATTTGGCATTATACGCCAATGAAAGTATATTTTGATTCTATAAAGTGCGAGAAAGTGATTTGAAGTTCACGTGGACGTTTGCGTCCGAGCCAAGTGGAGTCGAATTGGCCACACGAAGTTCAAATTATACTTGCTCGCACTGATATCAAAAGGTACTACTTTAATACAGTTATGTATACTAATTACTATAATGAACTTATAAATATGTACGTTTTGGCAGTGGTAATGACAGCAGATAAGTAAATGTTACAGAAGATATTGTTTACTTTCTTTATTACGCCAATGCATATGACCTAATATTAAAATTATAGTCTTTTTTAATTACATGAAAATAATATCATATAATCAACTTAATTTTCTATGCGAAAGACCCAATGAAAAAATGCCATAATTTTCCATAATGATTTTACAACTCTGCACAACATGTGAAATTAAAGAAAGCTTGTTCCCAATCGTGTGTGATACCACTTTTCTGTATAATACTAGTGCGAAACGGCACCACAGTATGATGGATTTAAAAAAATTCCTTATAAATTAATTCCATACGTATACGAATAATTTAGAAAAATAAATCACGTAAAAGTTATTGATTTTGCAAAAATGTGCTTACATGGGAAGTTCTTGTGATTTAGACCTTGATTTATTTTCAACAATCAGATGATTTTCGACTGACAGCTAAAAATAGTTCATTCAACTTGTGAAATTATAAAAAGTGTATTTCAAATTTAATATTCTCGTTTTAATCATAACGATAAAAAATATATACCAGCTTATATCTATAAATTCACGAATGCGTGTATGTGATTTAATATGAAAGTTTCGTGTACATTGAAGTTCATTTCAGATGATGTTTTATAAATACCGTAAATGCGACTGTAATGAATGTAGATAAATATCTATATTCAAAAGTACGTTATAAAACTTGACATCCTATTAATTTTCTGAACCGGTTCAGTTTCAGTAACATTAAATATTCACAAAGTTCAATTAAAAGACTAATGGTAATCAAAACAACAAACTACAAAACAAAGCTATTTACAGGGTAGTCATGAAAGAACAGCAGCAGCAAGCTTAAACGGCAAAATGTTGGTATATACATACGTGCACGACACTTGAGGCGGTACAGAGTGGGGCTTAGGCTCGAGAGGGGCCGAGGTGGTGGTGGAAATATAAGTGGTCAGCGAGTGTCTGGACGGGGCCAGTCTTTGCTAAGCGATTACAAAGCCGCTCGAGCCTAACAAAAAAGGTCCGCATTTTCCTGTTGTTCGGTCGTTTCTCGAAGGGAGTGTTATTTTTTTCCATCAGCTCGTCCTTCCTCTGACAAATCGCGTACGAGTGAGGCGTGCAAAACAAAGATCGCAACGCAAAAGCTACCCTAGCAGCGAGGATGAAGTGCGAGCACGGCCTGCTGCTGCTCGCGCTGGCCATCTGTGCCGCCGGTGAGTTTTTCACTATGCTCAAGATACACTGTATCTCTCAGTCTCGCTTTCTAAGTGTGCGATCGCACAGTTTTCCGCGTGCTTTCCCACTCTCTCTCTCTCTCTCTCTCTCTCTCTCTCTCTCTCTCACACGGGAAGTAAATCTGCTATTTCGCTCGAATTTTCATCAAAGCGATTTTCGCGCGAGAAAACAATCCGAGCAATCGATATTGCACATTTCACTCGCGCACAATCAACTTTTACAAGCGCTAGAGTCTTTTTAATAGTTAGGAAAAGAAAAATAAAAAAGATACTTACGTAAATAGAATTTCACTTTTGCAATTGCATTTTTGTATTAACGAGCAATCTAAGGATTACACCGTGTGGGGAAATCATGATTCTAGCACTTTCGAGGTAGCGATATAAAACACTACGTAGTTTCAAATCTTGATAATGTAAAAGATTTCTAGCTTTGATTTTACAGACACTTCAATGCTTACTCCCATTATATGTGATTGTTAAAAAATAGTAGGCACAATTGCTGTTACTTCATCATTTTCAATAGTGTATTTAAATTTTCTTTGCTTGATACGATAATATAAGTAAAACTCAAAAATATATTTCACATTTTTTCAAGCTTTTTTCAAATAGTATACAATAATTCTTAGCCGTGAAAGAATTTTATTAATGTACATAAATAATTGCCTATTTTTATGATAAAATATATTTTAATAATAGCCATTAGTGCATAGTCTCGTTATAATGAATCTCAATGGCTATAAACTAATTGATACCAATCAATCGAGTTATAATTGCTAAAAATTTTAACGTCAATCGATTGTTGATTTTCTTCCTCACAACCAAATTTTCGTTTAATAATCACAATGATTACGTTATACATGGAATGAATTTTAAATATACACAATGATTATATTTTATCTACAATTTAATTTAATTAAAAATAAAAAAAAAATTCATGATTTCTGAAAATATTCTACTCGAATCTACTGCTCAAATGAAGAAAATTTACATGCATAATGCAATTTGAATTTTATAATTTAACAAATAGTTAGAAAAGCTATAAAATGACATTTGTATAGACAGATGTGTGAACTTACAAGACATATACTTACGTGAATAGCTTACGTACTTGAGACCGTAGCAATGTATAAGATATTTGCTAACTCAAAATATTTGAAATTAAGATGCTGGCGCTTCAAGATGTAGAAAGAACTTAAATCGATCGGACTTGAGGTGACGATTTTTCAAGCATCTGTTGAATAATATATTCAAAATAGTTTCTCTCTGAAATTTCTTAAAGTGAAATGTAAACTTTTAGTGAGAAAGCATCAGCGTGTTTTCACTGCAATTAATGATAAAAAGTCTTACTTTCTTTAAGTGATTAATACATTTAAGTTATCGCAAGCCTAATCCTCTGGAGTCTAATAGTAAAAATATATGATATTTTTCAATAAAATGGCAAATTTTCGTTGGATAATCAAGCTAGATACAACTGCAGAAAAATCAGTAATGAGATTCAAAATGAAACTTTTCCTCGCTAACAAATCTGACGAACATACAACTATCCGGAAATCAGTTCATAAGTAACGCATCAAAATACAGTAGGGGAAATGGGAACTAGCCCCGCGAAGCATCATGTAAAACTACGCGAATCAGTTTGAGCATTAGCAAGTAAGCGAGCAGCAGTGAGAGATCAGGCAGGTTGCATAAGAGATTAGAGCGTGAAAGCCACCCGACAGAGATCCATGATCCGGATGGGGGGTGACGTCACGCTCGCAGCAACGCACCGGTCAACAACTTTCCCCGGGCAGTGTCTCGACAATATGTATAACCGCATTATTAAAAGTATGCCTGCGATCGTACGAAAGAGAGATCGCAAGCGATCGCAGGGGTCAGCAGGGCGAAAGTCTCGGCGATCACGTGCGCGTGCGCTTATCCTCGTTCTTCTTTTCTTTTTCCTTTCTTGATTTGCTCGCTTTCGATCGCGTTCTTTTTTTTTTTTTTTTTTTTATTCGCGAGATACAACCTTGCGTAATAATCGCCTGAATTATCGATCTTTCCATGCAAATTCGCGCACGCGGCCCGAAAACTTCAGCCGTGCATATTTCACAACTGCTGTGTACCGGTATAACTGTCGGCTTTATTCGTTTTCAATTTTAATACGGGCGGATGAGTCTCCTAATTTGTTTTTCATGAGTTCGCATCTTCAAGGATCTTACTTTTTTTTTTCGTTGAAATACAAGTTAAATAAAGAAGAAAAAAACAAGTTGCAGAAATGATACCTTTATCGAAAGAAATCGAAGCAAAAGCATTCGTTCGGTCTGCTCACAGACGCAGTAACGCTGAACCGCTACAAGCGCCAGGAAGAGAAGAAGGAGGACAGTTTCGAGAATGAGATTTGTAAGGACAAGGATGCGGGTGAATGGTTCAGATTAGTCGCAGGCGAAGGTGACAATTGTCGCGACGTGATCCAGTGCACAAGCTCGGGTCTTCAGGCAATTCGTTGCCCAGCTGGTTTATACTTCGACATCGACAAGCAAACCTGCGACTGGAAAGATTCCGTGAAGAACTGCAAAACTAAGAACAAGGAGCGTAAGGCCAAGCCACAATTGTACACCGAGGAACCACTTTGCCAGGAAGGTTTGCTCGCTTGTGGTGATGGTACTTGTCTTGAGAGGGGCCTCTTCTGTAACGGAGAGAAAAATTGTGATGACGGATCTGATGAAAACGTTTGTGGTGAGTCGATCGAAACCATTATTTCTTATAATTATGCTATGAGAGTTCGGCTGGCGATACGCTTGGCTGTAGAACAAGTTGATGTGTATCAATGACAAAACGTGAAAGGAAAGTATTCCCTCGCACATATTTGTTTCCTATTTGTATTGTCACAGACATGGACACCGATCCGAACAGAGCACCGCCTTGCGATCCAGCCGTCTGTGTACTTCCCGACTGCTACTGTTCTGAAGACGGTACTTTAATCCCTAGCGATTTGCCACCAAAAGACGTGCCCCAAATGATCACCATCACATTCGATGATGCCATTAACAATAACAATATTGGCCTCTACAAAGAAATCTTCAATGGCAAACGCAAGAATCCTAATGGCTGCGATATGAAGGCGACATTCTTCGTCTCGCACAAGTACACCAATTACTCGGCCGTGCAGGAGATGCACAGAAAGGGTCACGAGATTGCTGTTCACTCCATTTCGTAAGTGTATACAGTTTCACTTTCATCCGCTTGCTCTAAAGTGGCGTGACTTTGACCATTGTTTCGAATTTTCTTTCGGTTTTTGGCGCGTCAAGAAAATTGATTTTCGAAAAGACAATTGGTGCCGTGAAAGCAGGTCACGCCAGTTTGATTTTCTAAACAATGAGCATAGCAACTTTTTCTGACGTTCGCTTAGTAGTAGAACGCATATCGGACAAGTGGAAAGTTGCCGATTAACGTATCGAACACGATTATGCATTGTTTCTATCCAATTGACATGGCATGACCGCACCTCTAAACTCAACTTACGCAACCTCAATTAGTGCACGTGAGTCGTCTGACGAAGGAGAGTTTGATAGAGCGGTTTGTTTGTTACTTCACTCCTACAACGCCGAAATACCACCGACTTTTACCTAACCGCTATTTAATTACAATCGAATCGTCCCATTCTTCTAAAAGGCGAGGCAGATGAAAGTAGCTTCTATCAAGCATTGCTATGTAAATGTGGTTTTTGCACATCGGAGTTTTCTATCTAAAAGGTGATTATTACTGTTCGCAGACATAACGACGACGAGAGCTTCTGGTCAAAAGCTTCGGTTGACGAATGGGCCAAGGAAATGGCTGGTATGAGGATCATCGCTGAGAAATACGCTAATCTTACTGACAACAGTGTTGTTGGTGTTCGTGCTCCTTATCTTCGCGTTGGTGGTAACAATCAATTTACCATGATGGAGGAGCAAGCTTTCCTTTATGATTCGACCATCACTGCTGCCTTGAACAATCCACCTCTATGGCCTTACACCATGTACTTCAGAATGCCACATCGTTGCCACGGCAACTTGCAGAAGTGTCCCACTAGGTGAGTTTTGTCAATTATAATTTATAAATGCGCGATCGCGGGCTTATAAACAACGTTAAAAATTGTGTTCAAAGGTCTCATGCCGTTTGGGAAATGGTGATGAACGAGTTAGACCGTCGCGAAGATCCCGAAAACGACGAATACTTACCCGGTTGCGCTATGGTTGACTCTTGTTCGAACATTCTGACCGGTGACCAATTCTATAATTTCCTAAATCACAATTTCAACCGGCACTACGAACAGAACCGTGCGCCATTGGGTCTCTACTTCCACGCTGCCTGGTTGAAGAACAACCCCGAGTTCCTTGACGCTTTCCTTTATTGGATCGACGAAATTCTGAAGGAACACAATGACGTCTACTTTGTGACGATGACTCAAGTCATCCAGTGGATCCAGAATCCACGTACAATCAGCGAGGCTAAGACTTTCGAGCCGTGGAGGGAGAAGTGTGTCGTCGAAGGACCACCTGCCTGCTGGGTACCTCACTCCTGTAAACTCACCTCTAAAGAGGTTCCCGGGGAGACGATCAATCTGCAAACTTGCGTGCGTTGCCCCAATAACTACCCATGGGTCAGTGACCCCACTGGCGATGGTTTCTTCTAAAAGCGTTCAACTAAATAAGGAAGCCCACTCATTGCCTCTCATCGTGACACGTGAATGAAGAGAAGGAGGAGTTATTCTTTTGTTCTTCTTCAATCTGTCAGTCAAAACAATGGTGTCGTCGAGAGACACGTTAGATCTCGCCTGCGCGTGAAAAGAAAAAAATCGACGTTTATTTTTCTTATTCACACGCGCGATTTCTCATGTATTGACTATTTCTCGCTTTTCAAGCATTATGATCTTTTTTTGTGTTTATTATTATTATTAAACGTATAGCGATGTAATTTAGAGATTCGATTATATATAATATATCTGAAATTGGTCTCACGACCCCGTATACACAAGATCCATTTCACCAACTATATAAATCAAATTATTTAAATGAGAGAGACAGACACGTTATATATGTAAGAGGAAGATGGAAGAAGGTGAATATATAAAATGGCGGACGACCCATGCGTTGAGAGAGAGAGAGAGAGAGAGAGAGAGAGAGAGAGAGAGAAAGAATGTCCGCGAGTGAAACACTGTTGTTGTAATATATATATAGACGCGTATTTACTTTCTCTTTGTACGAATATATTTTTTAATTAATTATTTTTCTTTTGTCTTTCAAATTTCCTTACTACCTACTATCTCTTTCTCTGCTTCCTGTAAAATTTATCTATTTTCCCTACTTCGCCTGTTCGTTATACCTATACAAATATTTTTTATAATTTCTTTTTTTCTGGTAGCACATGCCAGACAATATTGAATGACCAAACTATTTTCGAATTTATTAATGTGTGTATATAATAAGACGTCGACAAAAAAATGCTGTTACCGAAAATTATAATAAAAGACTTTTTAAAATGACATATCACGTGTGATTTATTTGCTTCTCAAAATAATTGAATAATAAATTGATTACCTTCCTGTCAAAATCGATATATTAAATAAGCATTCGCATCTTATTAACGAATATTTTTTGAAGATACGAATCTGTCATAAATCGAATGAATTCAAAATAGAGCCGCGTGGTACAGATATAACGAAGGTTTATCTTGATAACATCTTGATAAACCTTCGTTATAAAGACAGAAAAAACGTCAAATGAACGTGAAACAATGTAATCGGTTATTTCGACGCGAACGAGTCTTTTCTTCTTGTATGCTGCGCGAGATTCAAGCAGTGCAGCACTCGTCGACGGAATTAATATAAGATCAAGGTCGCGCACTTGTATTCCACATAGGGTGCGAGCTTCTTACTTTCTTTTAGCTTGCACCGGGTGCATAGAGGTCAGAACGATAATTATTCATGCTGCTCGAGGGTACGAGACAAAAGAAGTGCACACGCATTGTTGAGAAAGTCGAACTGTAAATTGTACAACCTTATAGGATCGAGGTAAGGTGACCGTTATAACGCATACCTTATTGCTGTCGAATGCTTGCATATTTTTCCTAAATTGTATTTTCGAATAATGGACATTCTAATAATAAGTGCCGCTTAAAACTTACATCTACCATCGCTCGTTGATTTTAATAAGAAATTGAGTGCCAACAAAACTGAACACTTTATCCTGCTCGCGGCTTTGTTGCTTTTGCAATCCATCTGAAAAATGTTAATTCTCATAATCTGTTACTTAACAAACGCTTGGCTAAATTTATACCTAAGAAGATGAAACGAGGAGAAAGAAAGAGAGAAAGAGAGGGGGAGGAGCAAAGTATTTCGAAAAGCCGCGTGCGCCGATGATCAGCGTAATCGCGAAAAAAATCTTGAAAAATTCTCGGCGCTAAAGTTACAAAACGGAGAAGCAGCCGTCGGTGTCTGGAAAGACTTAGCGAAAGTGTTCGGCGTGTGCTCAAGAGATGTAAAAATTTCCGAATCGATGAAAAAAGAAAGGAGCTACGGCGCGCTTAGCTCACATACATACACATGGAGGCAGCTAAGGATAAAGCTACAACTGACGGAATGTCGTTTTATCTTCGAGCCAAAAAAAGTTTTATGGCTCGGCAATGTTGATTCTTGTTCTCTTGTAATAATTTTTTTGTTTTTTCAATTTTAAAGAAAATATTACGAGAAAAAAAAATCCTCGTAAGTGCTTTTTAATTATTTTAATTTTTGCGTAAAAAAAAAGTTATGCTTCACACTCGCAAACCAGTTGTATGGCGCGTTTCTTGAAAAAACAGGACGAGATGAGCATTAAGCCGCAACTCGCTACCGAAATACGCACTTTCATGACTCTGTGAGTACTTAAATTTCAGTCAATTCAGTCATGCATGAAGAAATTTACAAAGGATAGAAAGTGCGCGCATTCAGCTTATAAGATTTAATGAACTGCTCTAAGCTTATATGCAGCAAGTTAATTAAGACAATTTTTTATGTTGTATCTTGAAACACTTTTGCTTTCAATTTTTCACCGTATTTGGTTGAATCTCCTTATATGTACACACACTTTGATTTTAAATTAATACACTGAAAACGAGTTCTATGTATAATTTATCTCAATCGGAAAGCAAAGTGCTAATTTAGTTATATTAATCAGGTTGATAAGTGGTATACTCGTGATGTCAACTTTCGACAGAAGTTTGATAATCTACGCTAATTCTTCGAACGAAATTCTCAGACATGCGAGATTATACAGAAATCGGAGCTGTTTTTTTTTATTCAACGTAGTATGTAGGTCAGTCGTCTTGTTAACATATCAGTACATACGAATCCGATGCGCGAGTGAATGATTAACTGATGCGACCCGATAACGTCTCCTGATCTATAAACTTTTTCAAAAAAAGTCTAATTCCCCTAGCAGCCAAAGTAGTGCTAATGCTCACTTCAGCGCCATTCACGCGTATGACAATGAGAATCGGGCGAGTGCAGGGGAAAAAAGAAGTCGCGAAGACAAAAGTACAAAAACCGCAAGTAGCAATGGCACTTTTAAGTCGCGCTATACAAATTGCGCCTCTCGAATACCGAAGCGACTGCGACAACGATTGCATTCTGATGTCCCTCGATGGTGCTTTCTTGGCTTTCTGCGACGGCGCGACGGCGCCAATCTGCATGCCACTACAGGATATCTTTTCTCGCGCACTCTAATTTTCTTTTTACCTTTTCGTCTATCTGATCTTCTACATCACTGCACCAATTATCGATGATTCGCCCGAAACTATTTGCGTCAGTAGTGAAAAATATGGTTATAACTGTCCCATTGCCATTAAAATTAAGTCTTTTTGCTTTCTGATAATAGAGTACAGGTTTTATTTCCATAGATTTATTTATTAAATTTATTACAGTCTTATTTAATTTACTAACAAATAAAGGCTCGGTAGTATAACGGAAAAACTTTTAAAACTTTTTACACATATTTATTGTTGTTTGTCGTAAAAGATGGTCTTACTTTGTGTTACATAATCAATCATCGATGTTCTCAGTTGAAGGAATATATAAAGAATCTCAAGCTTTAAGAGGACACCTTATATTAAGTGAAAATATTTCTTGAAATTAGTAATATCGATTTTATTTAACACAGTTCTTAAAATCAAAGAATCTTTCTTCGTCATTTGTAAAAATATAACAATATAATAAATGCAGTTCAAACATTAATACCAATATATTTTAGATACGAACAAGTAAGTTCGAGACACGGCTGAAACGTCATTGTCGTGTGCTTGCGTGACAATAACGCAAGCTTTGTCCGTTATTTACTCGCATCATCCTATTGGCATAGAACGTTTACTGCAAGCCGACGTCACACTCAGCAGCAACGTTGTGTTGCCTTGTAATTGTCGCAGTAAACATTTTCCGATTTATACCCCGGCATACTTTCGTTGCCGCCTGATCTTTTCTATACTAAAAGATACGATTGAACACTATGAGAGGTAATGATTTCGCTGAATGGCGGAATTTATAAAAGTTTAGAAATTACGGAGTAAGAGCCAATAAAGGATCTCTACGTAATAATAGACGCGTCGCGTGGCGGCATATGCTGATTACTTCTATTTTCCAGCGCGAGAATTTCCTAACGCGTGGAAACGTATAAACCGTGTGGAGGAGTCAGCTGGCGCCCACCGGCCTTCTTTCGTATACACATCCAATCTCTTTTGTTTTTGTGCAAACAATGACATGCTTTCATAATGCGCATCAAGTTGTGGGCATACACAGGAATGCACGTACACGCGAACTAATGATGACACTATAACGATGAGAAACGTTATTGTTTTGTCGCTGTAGCGACAAGTTATCATTTCCTAATGCATTGTCGACAAAAATATTTTTGTATTTTTCGATGGTGGCTCACGTTACCAAGAAAAGTCATTCAGGTGTGAGCGTGAGAACTCGGAAGTTCTTTAGGTGGGTTGTATACATAGAATAATTTTCAGATGTCGCACATCGCCCAATGAGAAAAGTCGTTCGCGGACGTGGGGAAGAATATCAATGGAAGAAGAAGAAAGATGAGACCACTAAAGCCCCAAACGTAATGCTCCGCAATATCAGAGAGAGTGAAAGAGAGAACTACCGTATAATTCTGTCGCCTACGTAATAAAGCTTTTATTCCACTCTTCTGATTTCGCTCTTCCATCATTGTCGTACCGCTGCGGAGCTTCGATTTTTCATTTGCGCTCGATAAAAATGTTATTGACACATCCCGCGTGGAAAAGTTACATTCAAATGCCTCCGTCTCGAAGAAGGAACTCATCCCGCAACGAGTCCCCCCCCCCCCCCTCCTGTCTATCCGTATGATGATCCCTCGAAATAGCCGACAGTGAGAACGTAAGAAAAATGGTCGGTATAAATCACCATTGTGGGTCGAGATGCCGAGCTATTTTCGGATGTGTATACTTCGACGCAGCTTTCTCTACTTTCGCTTACACCGCCGCCGCTGGGATTTTGAGAGAGGTTGCATTGCCATCGATCCACTTTTCATTTCGTTACGAATCTTCCTTCAGCGTATCTTACTCATGGACATCACGTATGTTATTTTTTATAGTTTATATCAGGATTTAATTCGCATTCCTGCTGCTTTCGAATTTCGCGAGGGGGCGAAGTATTTTAATGAAGTCGCTTATTTTCGCGACTTCATTATTACGTTGTGCGCGAGGTATTCGAGTACCTGCGAGAGTAATATCCTTTCTAACCAAGTTGATCGCTCCGTTGGGCTCCGTGGCGATGAAGCTGACAGAATCACTCTTACTTTCTGTTGCAGAGGGGAAAATAAGTAAAAGCGCAGGCGAAGGTTTTTCACCGATGGAATGCGCGCTTGGCGAAAATAATGCTCGCTCATCCACTGCTGCTTCAAGTTTCGAAAAGTTGTAAAGAATGCGATTCGCGTACTCAAATTTCTTGTGTAGATATGTCACTGCGAAATCCCGCAAGTTCACGGTCGATGCGTAGTGGCAGTATTGCCATCATTGGCTTTATAGTCAAATTCAGACGGATGAGAGCACTTGGACACTAAATGATGTCGTATATTAGTTACGCTTACGAATCACATGTTTAGCTGATCTTTAGTGGTCTCGAATTTTTTGAATGTCATCGAATGAATATTAGTAAATTTTGTAACAGACGCGCTATAATTAAATCAAATTGCAGTTTATTGTAGAACTGTTAATTAAAAGAAACTAGAATAGAGATAACTACTTTCATCGAGATTTTCGCGATTGCGGTGATTTTTTAATATAAAATCAAAATTCAAGAGTTCACTTCCGCGGCAATGCGTCTACCGATTAATACGACGCGCGCACACTACAAGTTTGTAAAACCGTTATCAGAAACTGCGAATAATGACTGGAATTTCGGAGATAAAGGTAGAGTATATTGTATCGTACAGGATTATATTCGCCGCTGTTTAAACAGGCTGCT